GAGCGGGTACTGACTTGCTGGTGTGATTAAGGAGAAGTAATGAGGGACTGACAGACCGTCAGGGCTGAGCTGGATCCACCCAGAACCTTCTCCAGATGCACCATCTGCATAATTGGCTCTTGTGCGAGCGTCAGTGCAACCCCAGCCACGTACATTAGTGTAAACCAGCCTTCGTCACTCAGCTGCTCTCTAGTTTGCTCCACTTTATTTCACCAGTGTTTCCTAAGCTTGAGTACGAAATCTGTTTCCCCCTCTAGTTTTTCTTTAAGCACTTTATTTGGTGTCCTCTTGCACAGTGGTAGGAGACAGAGGTGAAGCTTTTGCTTGGTTTTTGTGGTGGCAAAGAACCGTGGGGGGGTTATAACCCCGGCTGCTGTATTTAAATGCCCCGTAACTCAGGATTTCCTGCTCTCTATTTCGTTCTACAGTTTTAAAGGTTTGTTTCAAACCTTATACTTCTTGGGAAAAGAGGGATCTTTGCTCACCTCCCTGCCTCGAGTCAGGAGTTACTGTGTCGTTAGCAGAAGAGTGGGGTTTTGCCCTCACAGTTTAATAAAAAATGGGGGGGTGGGTTAACCAGACGATAATAAATTTTGTTACAGGATTATTTCTGATTATTTTGCTCCTTTTTTGAATGCCCTGATTTAAAAGAAGCGATTCCTTCAATATTCTTCTGTTCTCTTTGATCTGAATTCCATAATGATGCTGTTTAAAGGTGAAGACAACCACACTTGAAAGCGTGCCTGCTTTAGGCACCAGTGCTCTTTACTGCAGGTGAAATCTGCAGGTCATGATGATACGTTAAAAGTCCCTCACAGAGGAGGGTAAGAACCATTATCCCTGTTGGACAGATGGGGAAACTGAGGCACAGAGCTGACGTGAGTTGTGCAGCGTGGTGTGGCAGGTGTAGGACCGGCGCCCCGCTCGCCTGGCGTGCGGTTTGAGCTCCCTGGGAGGAGCAGAGCCCCGTCCCTGCCCGGTCCTGAGCTCCCCTCAGCCCCTCCAGCTGCTGCTCCTCCTCAAAGGGGCCTTAATTCTCCGTGTGCAGGCTGGAATAGCAATGAGACCGATTCCCTCTTCCATCTGCTTCTTTTTAGGCATTTAATGCAAGATAATTTCTCTTGAGTTGTTTCTCCCCCTTTTATTACTGCTGCTAATTTGCAGTGAGGAGGTTTTTGTGTTCTTCAGCTCTGAGCCCAGTGTCAGGCTCTGAGCCCAGCTGGGCAACAAGGCTGCCTGAGCTCGTAGCCCAGCGTTGGTTTGCTTTGGTTGGGTTTTCTCGGCGTTAGGTGGTGTGTCAGGGGTGTTGCTGCTGGTGGTTCAGAGTGATGTCACTTGCTGGGTGGTGAGGGAATGTCTCCTGGGCTGGAGCGCTCCCATGGCAGGTCTGGTTCCCAGCGGGGGTCAGTGTTTCCCCAGCGGGGGGTGGGGGGACAGAAAACACACCTCTTTGGGTGCAGCAAAGCTTTTGGGGGGCAATTGTGGTCTGGCTGCCCACGAGCTTCCCCACTTCACGTGAGAACGCTGCCTCTGTCAGGCTCTGCAGGGGCGGTTTTGGCATCATTTATTGCCCAGCTCAGCTATTCCTGAGCTAAAACGTGTGAGAGTTTGTCTCTGCTGAGCCAGGAGGGCTGGGCAGAAGATGGTGAGTGTCTAAAGCTGGCAGCCCACGGAGGTGCCCCCTGTCCCCCCAGGCACCGGCGTGGCCATGGCCCAGCAGTGACAGGTCTCTCCCGCGCGTCCTGCACAGCCCGGAGGAAGGGAGGGACCATCCCCTCTCCACCCCCCTCTTAAGGTTTCCCTCATCCTCAGCAGGTGAAGCGGGGCGGGTGAGAGAGCGTGAGGGTTTCCTGCTCCTTCCCTCGGACTCCAAAGGCTCCTGCAGCCGCCGGGAGCTCCCTCCCCTCAGCCCGCTGGGGTTTTGCCAGCCTCGTGTGCCGGTTGCACCTTGAGCTCCCTAGCTGGAGGCTAGAGCTGACTCTTCAGCTTGCTTTCCAGCAGTTCTTGCAGCTGTGGGGACATAAACGGAGCAGTCCCTTGCAGGAAGCATTAATGACCTCCACAATTCATTAATCAACAGAATTTTGAGCTTGAGAGCAAATCTCAGCCAGCTGAGGCGGCGCTCTCTCTTCCTGCTTCCTACAGCTTGCTTCTAGTTTTCCTTATAAAGCAGCAAAACATGGAGGCTCCTTTTAGTAGTTCTTCCTCTCTCATTACAATTCCCAAAGCTTTGGTCCTATTGGCTTCCTATTTTCTCTTGGCACAGCCTCAGCAGAGGGAAGGGCTTAAGCTCCTCCAGAGTCGGTTGTCACCGCGGCTGGAACTCACCGGGATTCCTCCCGCGCGGGAGACGCCGAGAGCGACGGGGACCGAGCAGCCTTTGCCAGCCCGGGCAAGGGATCAGGGAGGCCACCAGTGTCAGGGGGGGCTTGGCAGCTGGATGGCTGGTGTCACGGCTGTCCCATGGCTGAGGGAGGGGGGAGCCCCTTCGGGGGGCACCTGCCTGGCTCCCTCGCTGTAGGACAAACCTCGTTTGGGAAACGCTGTGCGGCTGACGGGCTGCTTTCGGTTCTGGGGTCTCCAAAACCAGCCCAAGGGGAAAGAAGTGATTCTTCTAGTGTCTTTCTGTGAGAAAATGATCCCAATTCTCTGTGTAACTCACCCAAAATTCTTGGAGTGTTTCGCTGAGACTGGCAAGTTCGACGTGTCCTTTTGTTGTTGTTGTTTAGATCGCGGCAGAGGAGCTGTTTGGGTTTGTCCTTTCTGCCCCAAAGATCCAGGGCGAGTGCTGCTGCAGGAGGAGCAGACCTTTCTGGAAGCTGATCACTAAACCATTTATTAATATTTTTTTTAATATTTTTTTTTTTAAACAGGTAGAAAAGGAGGCCACAAAGGCCGAGCAAGACAGTACACCAGTCCTGAAGAGATCGATGCCCAGCTCCAGGCAGAAAAGCAAAAGGCAAGGGTATGTGTTTGCCCGGGTTATGTGCTCCCTGCCCTCAGCCCTGGCTCGCACCGTGTCCTTAGCACGCTGTTCCTGCGAGCTGGCAGCTCAGTCAGGCGCTGCAGGTCGTTCTCTCGGGGATCACAGTGTGAATCCTGAGTATCTCGGCCGGGGAGCCCACAAGGCGCCATCCATCTGGTTCCTCACGGAAGCGGGGCCAGGTGGACCCTCCAGTTCACGACGGGGAGGTTAAAGGATCGGGAAGATGACAGCACAGCAGCTCTGGACATCTTTTCCCCCCGTATTTCATCATTTTAGTGTCCAGTGTCAGCTGATTTTTTTTTTCATCCGTGCTCTGCAGCTTGGCTGTGGAGAAGAAAGGCCCACATCTCGAAACTGCTGTGTTTGCCCCCTTTCTCTTCTCTCTGAGAAGACCAAACTCCTTTGACTTCTTCCCGTGCACACGACTGGCTTGTTTGCCTCTGACTCGGAGGGAGACACCACAGAGGTTTCTGGCGGGAGTCCTTTTGTGGGCGGGTTTCTGTGCCCTGACACAGGGCTGTCAGAGCTCCCCCTGCTTCCACAGCTCCTGCCTGGTGCGGTACAAGGCCCAGCAGCTTTTTGCTGCACTTGCTCTCTCGTGTCCCCAAGTTACCACAGCCGTGGTGGGGCTCTGCTGGTGTTCTGGGATTCTCTGCAAGTGCTGCCTCAGCCCAAACACAGCTGGAGCCTCACAGCGCTGACTAGAGGAGGGTAGTTATACCCCACGTAGGAAATACCGATGCATAGCTCTGAGAAGGTTCCTCGTTCAAGCAGTTACGAGCCGTGTTGTTGACTCCTTTTGAATGTTCTGACCCGCTGTAACTCGAGAGGATTTTGTGGTTTGCTGCTGAGCCACATATTCCGACTTCGTGTTGGATTTCTCCTTCCAAAGGGTGACTCCTCTGGGTTTGTTTCCTGATTCCACCTTCTTGGTTTCACGCCATCTTTCCAAACGCTGAAACCACTTACGGGTCTGATCCTGCTTCCCAAAACAATTCCAGCTCCTACTGGTGCGATGTCATTCGCTCGACTTCCGAGTTGTCGATAAAAACACCAACGGGAAAAGGAACAGAACAAGCAGGACCCCGCTTGATCCTGCTTCGAAACAAGCCAGAGAACTGCTCTTTGAGAAGGATTTCTTCCCTTTCTCGTGCCAACCCACACCACAGAGCGGTGGTTACATCTCAGGCTGCTTTGTCAGGGGCAGCTTCAAAAAGACAACGAACCAAATGACCCCTCTCGCTGCCCGGAGCTCCCCCACTGCCGTGCTGTGAGGAGGGATGTTTGGCAGCGCTAAAGCAAACTCTTCACACCCACGTTGGTGCTTCTAATCTTACCTTCTGATGATTCACAAATCCATTCCTGGAGCTCTGACTGGTAAAAGCTGCGCTGAAAAGGCTGCGATTTCTTGGATGATCACGTTCTGGTGGATGGTTGTCAGTTTGCTCTTCTCTAGTTTTTTAAGCTAGCTCTAGGCTGGGATCCAGCTCTACGCTACATCCCTGTAGTTTCCAGTCGCTGAGATACTGTGCACCGGAAACCCGGGCCAAAATTTCTCCTGGAGATCTTTCATTTGGGGAAAGTAAAGTGCCAGTTCTGTCTGTTAGAACCGTTTTCCTGGTTTTGAGCTGCTGGGGCAGGTGATGCACGCTTACGGGTGGAGACTGAGCTCTTGTTCTGTGGCAGCCAGGAGCACCAACGCTCTCAGAGCTTCTCTCGTCCCGCCAAAATGACCTCATTTAAGAGTCGCTGTTGGATTTGGGGTTTTTATTGACGTGCATTTCATTTTGTGATTTTCTAGGAAGAAGAGGAGCAAGAAGAAGGAGGTGAAGGAGCAACAGGGGACCCCAAAAAGGAGAAGAAGTCTTTAGATTCAGATGAGAGCGATGAAGATGATGAGGATTATCAGGTACTGTCATTCTCAGGGCCCTTAACGCATTTGCAGCACCCAGATTCTTGGGGCAGGAGGGAGAGGCACGCTCTGGACTCTTGAGTTTTCTTTCAGAGCTACCTATAGTAAAATTTTTATGGAAGAACTGGGTTTAGAAGTCCAAAAACCCTTCCTTGACGGGGTTTTGGCCTCAGAATGAAAGCTTGTGTCTTGTTAGAAGTGAAATGCAAAGGCCAGAGGGTTTCAAAAAAGGCTGAAGATGCCTGGTGGTGTCAATCTTGGTTCACAAACGGTTTTGCTGTCTGGTAGTAAAACCGTCTTGAATTCTGCTCGTGGGATGTGTGGCGGCGTGTTTGACGAGCTCTGACGCACCCAGCGTTGGGTACGAGGGAGCTTCTTAACCTTCCTCTTGTTGTTGAACCGTAGCAAAAGCGCAAAGGAGTGGAAGGGTTGATAGACATAGAGAATCCCAACCGTGTCATTCAGACCACCAAAAAAGTCACTCAGCTGGACCTGGATGGACCTAAGGAACTCTCGCGGCGGGAGCGGTGAGTCTTCCCTGTTCCTGGAATTCCGTCCTTGCTGGTGGCAGCAGCTTAACCCGGGGAGCTGCTCCCCTGCTGGCGTGGGGTGGTGTTTCAGGGAAGCCCTTTAAATGCGTTGCTGCCCAAAGCAGACGCTGAACGGCAGCAGGCTGTCAGGCAGGGCTCACTGTCGATCCCAATGCCTTTCCTTGCGAGCTTTGCAGAAGTTGTCTGTCCTCTGGGAGTAGCTGGGGCCGTCCTGGAGCCAGGCAGCTTGGCCAGGTGCGCTGAGAACGTGAAGTTTCTTGCTGTGAAGCAGACATAGGCCGTTCCTTTCCTGAAGTTTTATGCCAAAAATGAGACGTAACTGAAATCCATTAACCGGAGGTCACCTCGGGGCCCGCTTTAATCTTGCTGCAGAAGGTGCCCTAGTGACAGGTAGCGGTTTCCCACATTCCAGGGGTCATGGTGGACTCTATCTGAGCAGGTGAATAAGATGAAAACCAAAGTTTCATCTTCTAGTTGCGTTTAGCAACGGAGAGTTTCAGAATGAAAGATTTCAGCTCGCTGCTGGGGGATAGATGGCTTCAGCAGAAGGGCCCCTTTAGGGGTAAGGCTGGGAGAAAAATATGTCCTGGTGCTGCACAGTCCGGGGCTAATTCGTTGGACCTCGTTGTCTGCCAGTGGCCTTGTTTAGCTGGACGAAGGCAGAAAGAATCTCATCATCTCCGTTCAAACCCTGCGATGGCTAGACCCTGTGCTTGAAAACTGGTGACGGGGCCCCCCAGTCTCTGTGGGCAATCCCTCTCTGTCCTCCCCCCGCTTCCCGGTCAGAAAGCCTCCCCCTCTCTGCCTGTCCCTGCGTGCTTCGCTGGAAACTCTGGTGACTGGTGTGTTTCCCTCAAACAGAGAGGAAATAGAGAAACAAAAGGCAAAAGAAAGATACATGAAAATGCACCTAGCTGGTAAAACAGAGCAGGCGAAGGCAGATCTCGCCCGACTAGCCATCATTCGGAAGCAAAGGGAAGAAGCTGCCAGAAAGAAAGAAGAAGAAAGGAAAGGTGAGAGAGTCATCAATCGTACCGTACCGCTCTCCGCGAGGGCTGCGCTGCCAAGAGGCCTGGTTTTCATCTCCCACGTGGAGATCCCTCCTCTCCCGAGCCTGCGGGGTGTGGTTACAGCTCCTCTCGTGAAAACCCGGCTTCGCTCTTACAAAGCTCTTGCTTTATAAAGCGCTGGGACACGTGGGCACGGAGTGGGGAAGGAGAGGCAGGAGTTGCCCTTGATAACCGTGCTGTCCTCAGCCTCCCCGGCAGCGCTTGCTCCAGGGTGGGGGTTTAGCGGGTTCCTTGGGTGTGATGTCCCTGCTTTGGGGATCCAGGCTGCCCAGGGAGTTTGCAGAACTCCTCCGCTGCCTGGACGTTCTCCTCAGCTCGGGGACGTGCGAACCAGGAGCCTGCTGAGCGCGTCCTCTCGGTGGCTTCCATCAGCATCACCACCAGGGTAGTTTGCGGACGCCTGAAGAGAGGCCAAGGACAGAAGGGAACATGCCGGGGACGGGGGGGGCGGCTCCTCCTGACTCCAGAGGGGATCTACCGTGGATTGGCGGGGAGGGTTGGATTTTTTTCCCGTTACCCCGCTGTACACAGCAGGATTCCAGTCGCCGGCGCTGTCAAGCCACCACCAGTCCCTGGTGTGTGCTGTGAAATGACAAACCCTCTGTTCTTTTCCCCCCGCAGCGAAAGACGAAGCGGCTATGGCAGGTAAAAGACTGCAGTCACTATCCCTTAACAAGTAAGCACAGGACATGCAAGAGGAGGAAACGCCAGGGAACTGTGCCTGGTGCCTGCCAGGACCTCCGTCGTGTCGCCTACCATCGCTGCCACGTAGGGTGCACCGCGGCACCGACGTCACCTTCACCTCCAAGAGACACTGACGATGTGTTTGTCCTCATCCTGGCACAGATTTCCATTTGGGGTTAGGGGCAGCTGCTCTCTTCGGGCAGAACCGTGCTGAACAGCAATTCTCTGTAACAGTTTGGAAACCTGAATGTTTTTGCTGGGTTTAGGATTAAAAACTGATAGGGGG